AGGTCAGAGAAAGAGGGAGATACAGAATCTGAGGCAGGCTCCAGGCTCTGAGCTAGCTGTCAGCACAGAGCCCAACACGGGGTTCGAACCACCTGAGCCTAAGTCAGATGCTTAACCTACTGAGCCACCCTGGGGCCCCACTCTCTGCTCCCTTAACAGGGCTATCAGGGATCCACACAGAACCCAGGGTTCTGCCAGCAGCCTGGACCCACGGATGATTTCTATTTCACCCCACCCACCCTGCTTTTTGTTTGCTTGTTTTTTTTTTTAATTCATGTCTATGCTTATAAATGTATAAGGAAACAAATCAAAAGAGGTAAAGAACTTATTAACTGACTTCTTAACCCAAACCAGCAGAAAGAGAACTAATCGATATTTAGTACTTTGGACATATTGGCCCTAAGAAGGTAAACAATAGCAATGAAACAGAAAAGAATTCTATTCATCTGTATTTTTATCATCGCCATTATTATTACTTGGCTCCGGTTGATTTTTGCTCTTTTTTAAGGTTTTTCAGATAGACAGCCCAATCGGAGAACTAAATATAATTGCTCTGTGGCCCACCAGAGCCCAACTATAATCAAGTAGCCAATCAAGAAAATGAAGATCAAGATTGTCCTTGCAACCTCTGCTTTCAAGATTTTATCTCGTACATGGCCTAAGTTAAAGCACCCTTTCACTTCAAGGGCTAATGTGAATTTTTAAATTAAAAATTATTTTTAAAGAAAAAAACAGCTTACAGAAGAGGATGACATTATTTTCTTTCCTAGTTGTGGTACATAGGATTTACATGCAACTCTTTGCCTAAGACTTAAGGCTGCTTATTTTCATTACTCTCATCACACACACTTCCCACTGATATCAATGGGAGATCTATATATGAAATACAGTTGAAGCTAGAATATACTCCTGTTCCTTACACAGCCTTGGCGTTTACATCAATCAATGGGCTAAATATTGTCCCCAAAATGCCAGAAAAATGCTACTTTTCGGGCAATAATTTTTCCGAGACTGTTGTTAACTTGCTAAACTGGGATTCACTATGCTAGTTATAGTTCAGGTCTGCTCCACTTAAGTAAGGTTGTCTTTGCATTTTCAAAAGTAAGCTCTGGACTGGGCTTTCTACCTCCTTCCAGGTAACGTCAGAATCCAGGACTTGCTTCCACCTGCGTTTTGGGTTATAACCCAGGCGCGCGCACCCAGAGTCCTCCCTCCACCCGCTCTGCAGGCGGATAGGGCACCCTCCAGAGAACCTAACCGAAACGCGAAAACTTTCTGGCCGCTAACTCTATCTACTGTGCTCGTCCGTAATCAAAAGCGACCAGGCACCGGGAAAGGCACTGGCTTTTGTTCCAGCGTGGTCCAGCGGGCGAGGTAACGCCACAGCAATCCTCCGTCCCGAAAGGTCGGGAGAAATTCCCTGGAACGGAGATTTTGGAGCCTCACGAAAAAGAAGCCGATCTTTACGCAATCCTCGCGTGTGGGGTGTACAAACAGGAAAAGAGGGCGTGGAGCAGGCACGGATGAAATTCTCAGGGCCTCTCAAATTCTACTTCAGTCTTGGGTTCACAAAGTGAGTCTCCCCATCTGTGGAAGTGCGCGGGGGTGGGGGCGGGGAGGAGGAGACCACGCGGACTGGAAGAGAAATAGGTACGAGAGGGGCACACGAGATCCAGTCGAGATGCAGGTCCAGCCCCGCCTCCCGGTACAATCAGAAAAACTACAGTGTGTCAATGGCTTTCGGCTTCCTGTTTGTAAAGCCAGAACCTCCCTCCCTGACTTCGGTGACAGACGTTCTTCCTCAAAACAGAGTCCGCCTCTTCTTCGCGCTCGGGGCTGGATCGCGGGCAGGGGGAGTGTAGGGCGAGCGCGGCAGAGGGGGCAGGGCCGCGGGGCGCAACGCCCCTCCCAACCAGGCGGCCTCCAGGGCAGAGCTGGGCCGCTAGGCGGACAAAGCGCCTCCCGCTCCCTCCCCCACGACCGCGCACCGAGAGGGAGGGGGAAGGCGGGATGTGGGAGGTGGAAGAGGAGGGGGAGGAGGGAAGGTGCTGCCGGCAGGACTAGGCTGGATCACGCCGAGGAGGGTGGAGAGGAGGAGGGGCTGGGCGGCCTCGGAGAACTGGGAGGAGGGAAGGATTCTTGAAGCCCAAGATAAACAAATTGTTCCTCTTCACGTGCGGGGTGGGGGGAGGTGGAGAGGGTGGGGAGCGAGCGCCGAGGCCTCTCCTCTTCCCCTCCCCCTAGCCGGCTCTTTGTCAAGGAGCGCCGGCCGGAGTGCCAGGCGAAAGGACCGCCGCGGCACCCGCACAACCGCCGGTGCCGAGGGCTCCCAGGCCCGGGATGTGCGCGATTTATAAACCGCACACGCAGGGGGCCGCCCGCGCCAGGCCCTGCGCCTCCGACTGAGGGACAGTCGGTAGGGAAGCCGGCGACAGCACGCGGCCGCCCCGCGCTCCTGGATTCCCACAGCCCGGCGCACCCCGCACACGCGCGCAGCCTGGAGCCTGGCGGCGCCGTGGGGGAGGGGGCTGCAGACACCTATCCCGAGCTTCCGGCCCCCCCCCACCCAGAAAGGAAAGCAAAAGAACGGGAGAGAGATGATAAGAGAAAGGATTCTACCCTCAGGGTGAGGGGGTGGGAACTGCCCCTTCCTCCCCGAGAAGTTAGGCCATTGGCTGCTCCTCTACCTCGAACCCACCCACCCAGCCATTTAAGCTTCTTTCACCTCCCTGCTACCTTCCACTTCTCCGGGCTTGTGAGACTAGCCTGGAAAGTTGGCAGGGAGCGATGCGGCGGGTGAAGCTAGCGAGCTCCGTGCCGGCAAGTTTAAGAGGAGGAGGAGAAAGAATCCCCAGTGGAGTTGCGTGGCCGGGACCCTGGGCGCAGGCCGAGGGCGTAGTTCTCCCCTGATCCCCACGCCCCGCCGCTTCCCGCCGGACCCTCGCGGCCGCTCCACCTGCCGGGCCAGCCTCCGGGCTGAAGCGGCGAGAGAGCGCACCCGCTCCCCGCATCCGCGCGCGCGCCCGCCAACGCGCGCGCGCAGCCACCCTCGCTCGCTTCTCATCCACTTCAAAGTTCATTCACAAAACTCTCAGACTTTCTCAGCCCAAAGGGGGTTTGCTAGGGAGAGGAGGCGAGAGCCTCTCCCTTCCCCTTCCTCTCCCCAGGGGTTGAGGGCCTGGTGCCCGCCCAGAAGCGCCAACTGCATCAATTTCTCCCGGCGCCCGGCGGTTGAGCTGAGAGGGGTGGGCGAAGGGGGGCTGGTCTGGGGAGGTGAAGCGGCTCGGCGAGGGGTGGGGTAGGGAGTCGTGAAGAGGAGGAGCGAGGTTTCAACTCCGGGTTCACTCTCTTTCAAATCGGTATCTAAGAAAGGGGGGGGGGAAACTTTTCCAGTGCCTCACTCCGACGCTCCTCCAGGCTCCCTCCGCCCCTCTCGGTCGTGACTGGCTTCTCCCCTCTCGCCCCCTCTTCCCCAAATCTGACAACCCTGACAGATTAACAGGTAGCGACGACAGCAGCTTTTTCCTTAGAAAAGTTGAGGTTAACCCTTCGGCTTCAGCCCACCTCGCCACCGTGCAAATCAAATACCGGTCCCCCCATGTAAGCAGCTCCACGCCCCCCCCCCACGCGCGCGCCCCACGCCTGCTGCCAGTGCGCCCTCACCATGATCAGCGTGTGGTTCCTCTGCTCCGCCGAGGCAGCCTCCGCATCTTGCTGGGGTTTGCTCTGGTGCTGCTGCTTGCCCGTGCCGGCGCCGGATTTCTTGGCCCTCTGCTCCAGGGTCCGCTGGTAGAGGCTCACGGTGTCCCGGCGCTCCAGCTCCAGCTGCTCCACCTGAGCCTGCTGATACCTGTTCTCGCAGTTGACGTGGTGCCGCCGGCAGCCCTCGATGCGCTGGCGGAGCCGCTCCACCACGGTGCTGTGCTTGGGGACAGCCGCTGTACCGCCGCCGGGGCCCCCGGAGCCGCCGCCGCCGCAGCCGGCAACGGGGTGATTGCTACTCGGAGCAGCGGGAGTACTATTGGGAGTATTATTCACACCGATCCCGGCCCCGCCGAGGCTGCTGTTCAGGCTACTGTTGATGCAAATACTACTGCCATTCGCGGCAGCAGCGGGGGCCGCGAAATCCCCCATCCTGCTCCCCGGGCACACTATTTTGGAAGAACTTTTTTTTTTTTAATCCACCCCCCTATCAGCCTCCTCCTTGGGTCCAGGAATTAAAATAGTTTAAGTGGAACGCGGGGGAGACGCAAGCACATGGATGGAAACAGCGATCTCGACGGGGCGAAAAAAAAGGGGGAGAGATTTGGGGGTAGGGTTTTTTTTTGTTTCCTTTTTTTAAACTGTAAAGCTCGAGGGGAAAAAAGAGGTGGGGGTGTTATCAGAATACCATCAGACACCTATCAACAAAAAGAATCACAACAAACTGAGCCAGCAGCAAATCGGGTTGCAACTCAAGGGGAGATCCGCTCCTCTCCTGCCTTCTTTTTATAATCCATTATTTTCTAATAAATTCCAGGAGATTTCCGGTGGTTGGCAAGCATTTTCTCCCTACGTACCGAAAAATACACCCCATGTACACACACAAGCATATGCCTCCAGTGCGGACACGCGCGACACACACTCACTCCACACCGCATCGGAAAACGGCAAGCTTGCTTATTGCATTTTCCTTCCACAAAAAAGTTTTGGTGTTTATGCCGCCCCGTGTTCTCAAAGTACTTTGGCTGCTCAGTTGCATTTCACAGGAACCTAGATATCGAATCCTCGGGCTGGGGGAAGTAAACACATGGACAGTCCGAGGCGACTGCAAAAGTAGATCGGTGAAGTCCTTTGCAAAACGCCGCGCGGAGAGCAGCCCCTAACGCTCGGCTGGGCTGCCGCTGCCGCCGCTGCTCCTGCCACCATCACAATGATCAACTGCTCGCCGCCGCCGCCGCCGCCGCCTCCTCCTCCTCCTCCTCTCGCTCCTCCACCTCCTCCTCCTCCTCCATGCCAGCGGAGTGATATCAGGACGCGCGAGCTCAGTAAACACGGCAGCGGCGGCGGCTGGAGGCCGTGAGACAAGCCGGGGGACACGGCGCAAAACCCGGCCCGGACTCTCACCCGGCAGGAGCGGGCGCCGCACGCACCGGCACCCGGCTCCCGCCTCCCTCGCCTCGCCCTCCCCGCCCCTCCACGCCCCCAACCTCACTACTATCCTGACTGGAAGCCGAGCTGCCAGAAAAGAGAGGAAGAAAAGATTCTGGGGGATCTCGGGAACGAATCAACTTTTGACGTGTGTGTGTGTGTGTGTGTGTGTGTGTGTGTGTGTGTGTGTACACGCGCGCGCACGTGTGTGTGCGCGTGCGCGCGAAAATGGCCGCGTGGACGCGCCTGGCTGGATTTCCTTATTCCAAACGAGGTATCATGCAAGCCCAAGTTGTTGTTATACATTTATGCATTATATTGCAGATCGGTGCATGACCAGGCAGAAACATTGAAGCGTCACAGCAGTTGTCTGTCATTCCTACCCATGTGGAAAGAAAAAGGCAAATGAGTGACTCGTTTTTAAAACCCAGGTAATAAGTCCTTGCTTATAATAACCCTGCTTATGGACACTTGTTCAAACTCTAAGCCAATCTTAACAAATGCTGAATTCTGAACAAAAAGAAAATAGGCACCAAAAAACTTGGAATTTTATTTAATTCGCTGTACATGAGTGTTGTTATTAAGGCAATTATTGTTTTAGTTACCCTTGGAAAAAAATTAAAATAAAGCAAGCAGGGACTTGGAGGTGAGACTAACAGTACATTTTAACAGACTGTTTTGAACACTAGGTGCTAATGACAGCAGTAATTAAGGGTCCTTCCTAAATCAAGTGGAAAGATTGCGGATTTCATGGACTAGAACTATAGGAAAAACACAGCATTTCACAGTTTGTCATGACCAAAACAAAAACAAGCAAAAATAACAGGCTTACCTTATTGCTAGATATATTTCTGTTTGAACGAATGTACAATAACTATAATTAAAATGGAATAACTACCACAAAAAGCAATGTAAACTTTCCTTTGTCTTTCAAGATATTGGATATCAAAAAAAAAATCCCACTAAGGATCAAATATAATATCCTTGAATCTGAACTTAACTAATTGCATATACATAATTTTAAAAAATTTTAAATGGAGAAACAGCATTTCTGTGATCGTCTGTATTACAAAATGTTGATTGTGTGCTATTAATAATAAAGCATTTTGTATTATCTCAATAAATCTTACAGAATTAGTTTTTAGGGTAAAAATACACCCCAGTTTTCTAAAATAGCCAGGAATAAAAGAACTTTGGATCTCATGCATTAGTCATGAGATCTGATTTAAACCATCTTCATTTCTTGGCATTGCAGATTAGCATAGGATGCTATTTCTAACCTCATAATGTCAGCAATAAGAAGCTATATTTTTCTTCAATTAATCAGGCCTATATGGTAAACTATATCTTTAACATCCACTGGATTATATGGTAAAAATGGGCAGCAAAATATTAATTAATGTGATATTACCTCTAAGTAGCGAAACCAATGTGAGAGAATATCTTTCATTGAAGCTCAGAGGGCTACTTAGTAAATATACAATTCTCTGTATCAAAACTGCCCCTCCTTCAAGTCTGTTAGAAAATGTTAACCGATTTAGTTCGATAGCAAAAAGTCAGTTCAGGTTCTAAAAGCATAGAGAAAATTATAAGAAAACGACATCACAAAGTGGTCTTTGTCTTTTTCACATATTAACTGTATAATATCTCTATTAATTCAGGAAACACATGGCCTCACTGCAGAGAGGAAGCTATGACTCTGCATTCACGCTACTCTCTCTTCACTATACTTCAATTCTTATTCCTTCTACCCCAACCACCTACATGGCCCATAAAAGACAGCAGTTTGATTTACAGAGGCAGCAAGGTTGAGGGTCTTGAGTGCTGCGTCTTCAGTTTTGAAACCTGAGTTATAATTCTAGCTTTCCCTGTGACTCTGAATTTAATTTTTCACTGAGAATTTATCAATTCTGAAAAAAAAAATGATGGCAAGAGCAGCAACATACATTCCTATCAAGCTGTTTACCTCTCCAATCATGAAGGGAAACCAAAAATACACAAGAATTTGCATCTTCCCTTTGAGAGACCAACAGGTGGAGGAGCACACTTTGTGGCTTTACCCCAGAATTCCCCAACGACAAATGGAGCTATTCTTGCACAACTACAGCAGAGTTTGCTGTTTGAGTTTAGTGCATGAGTGGACCTTACAAAAAAGAAAGATTGACTCCTCGTGGGTGTATGTACACACACACACACACACACACACACACACACACACACACACACAGTAGCACCCATCTTTCATCTCATCAAGATCATCAAGATGGTGAGCCACAAGCTCCAAGACCAAAATGTAGGGACAGGAAAGGCTGTGAGGTTGTGTAATGGGCAATGGGGGAAGAGTCTGAGGAAATTGACCTGTGTAGTACACCACCGTGACATACTTGAGGTAGAAACCCCATCCTAATTGTGCAGGCTGATTAGAAGAAAGAAGCAGGAAGTGAATGAGACTTAAGTCTTGAGTAACATAGCCAAGTCATCCTGAATTCGAGATGTTACTCTACTCGAGTGACCTTAAAAGAGACAGAAGCTTGTATACTGGCTACTTCTAGGCTCTTGTGATGTGCTCCCATAAGGTTGCCAGCTTTGTTGGTCACCATCCTAAAGAACTCCTTGAAAGTCATAAAGAAGTCCAAGTTCTGGGGAAGCTATTTTAGTCCCTTTTCCCTACCAAGCACTCTGATAGCATGACCATCTTTATCTCTGCTTTAAGCCTGCTATGAAGCAAAGCTTCCAGATGGGACCTATGGACACATCCTCAATGCTGTTGCTCCAGAATAGCAAAGAAATTTGAGATGCTATAGCAATGATGAGAAAGAAATTATGTGGCTACCTCCCCAGACGTTGATGATATCTCTCTGGATGCCCAAAAGAAGAGCATATCATGAATAAGTACCTATTCCAGGTTGTTCCGAGGCTCTGGCTCTGAGCCAAAGTTGGCAGTTCTAAGGAATTGAACCAGATTCCCTTTTCTGGGATTTCCCGTGTCCATCTAATAGGGCCCAGTGTCCCAGTGTCAAAAAATAAAAGAGATCTTTGTATACAAATTCCAGTATACGTGCCACTTATGCTTCCCTATTAATGGATCAGTAGAACTGTTTCATCATTGTACCATAAAAGAATACTTGGTGACCAAGGTAGAGTAGGAACCCTCTGCTGCCCATCTATGGATAAGCAAACCTTTGTACATGCCCACACAGTGGACCCTGATGGTCCCGAATTACTGGCAGCAGTGGGGTGTGCCCTCAGCTGTCTAGCAAGAGCTATCATATCAATAATTTCACAAATATGGTTTTGGCCTTCTGTGTGCCGAGTACCTGTATTAGGCACTGGCACTGGCAATGCGGCATAGCAGTGTAGAGCACAAATGAACCTCAGTAATGGACAGCTAGACTCAGAGTAGTAGATGGAGTGATGGGACTAATATGAGGTAGGTATGGGAACACACAAAAGGGGCTTTGAGTGCATACGTGGGGATCTAAGAAGGCTTCCCCAGAACTTTCTCCAAAAACTGGGTGGAAGTAAGCCAAGCAAAAGCTGGGGGTGAGGGTACGCAATGGGGAGCTAGGAGATAGCTCAAGCAAGGGCCAGATCTGTTTCAGCAGATCCACCAGCTGTTCCCTCACAGGAGCATGAATGTGGGAGGATGTACCAAGAAATGAGACCAAGGCTGGGGAGGTCAGAAGGATCTAGGCTGTACCCGGCCATCCAGAAGTTGAGACTATACCCCTGCAACACTGCTGCCATTGAAAGGATTAAAGCTAATTCACACTTTTTATTTTGGCAATGCAGTGGCTGCATTAATACGGTGTTTTCTAGAGTGTGTTCTGTAGAACCTGTTCCTGTAAGATGTTTCACCAAAGAGGCTTCTGAGCCAAGTTAAGTGTAGGAGATGATTGGTACTGCATCTCTCTCAAAGATTCATGACCATGTTGAAGGCCACTAGAAATCCTGCAGCAGAATATGGTTAGCTGTGTTTAACCTAGTAATGCCCAAATCCTGTTATGTCCCACAGAATGAAACATATTAGAGAGAGCTCTGTGTAGGAGAGAGTAAAAATCAAAGACAGTTCTAAATCCACTTAAGTTCACAATGATTACCTGGGCAGGCAGTCTCTGACAAGACTGCCCTTTACCATCTGCTCTTCCAGACTCACTAGCACCCAAGGCTCAAGGCCCTTTGCTAACCTTAACTGGGTATGTTGAGTTCTGACCTTCGAGTAGTGGGGAAGTAGCAACACAAAGGCACAAATCCTGAAAGGATGAATTTGACTAGCCTTTCTCAGCATTACCATGTTGAGCATGTTATATTAATATCTATCTCTATAGTAAAACCTCCTTATTGCCGGAAAGGAGTAATTTATGTTTTATACTTTTTTATTTAGAAAAAAATTTTAATGTTTATTTCCTTTTGAAAGAGAGAGAGAGAGAGAGAGCATGAGCGGGGGAGGGGTAGACAGAGGAGACACAGAATCCAAAGCAGGTTTCAGGCTCTAAGCTGTCAGCACAGAGCCTGACGCAGAGCTCGAACCCAGGAACTGGGAGATTATGACCTGAGCCTTGTCAGATGCTTACCAAATCAGCCCTCCAGGCAATCGTAAGGTCAGCTTTATTTAACTGAAAATCTTAATTACGTAATATCTCTAAAGATCTAGAGTTTCATGATTTTTAAAAATTATTACTATTTTTAATATAATTTATTGACAAATTTGCTTCCATACAACACCCAGTGTTCATCCCAACAAGTGCCTCCTCAATGCCCATCACCCACTTTCCTCCTCCCTCACCCCCAAGCAACCCTCAGTTTGTTCTCTATATTTAAGAGTCTCTTTTGGTTTGCCTCCCTCCCTCTCTGTAACTTCTTTTCCCTCTTTGCCTCCCCCATGGTCTTCTGTGAAGTTTCTCAAGATCCACATATGAGTGAAAACATATGGTATCTACCTTTCTCTGACTGACTTATTTCACTTAGCATAATACCCTCCAGTTCCACCCACATTGCTGCAAATGGCAAGATTTCTTTCTTTCTCATTGCCAAGTAGTATTCCACTGTATAGATAAACCACATTTTCTTGATCCATTCATCAGTTGATGGACATTTAGGCTCTTTCCATAATTTGGCTACTGCTGAAAGTGCTGCTGTGAACATTGGGGTACATGTGCCCCTATGCATCAGCACTCCTGTATCCCTTGGGTAAATTCCCAGCAGTGCTATTGCTGGGTTATAGGGTAGTTCTGTTTTTAATTTTTTAAGGAATCTCCACACTGTTTTCTAGAGCAGCTGCACCAGTTTGCATTCCCACCAACAGTGCAAGAGATTTCCCGTTTCTCCACATCCTTGCCAGCATCTATAGTCTCCTGATTTGTTCCTTTTAGCCACTCTGACTAGTCTGAGGTGGTATCTCGGTGTAGCTTTGATTTGTATTTCCCTGATGATGAAGGACATCGAGCATCTTTTCATGTGTCTGTTGGCCATCTGGATGTCCTCTTTGAAAAAGTGTCTCTTCATGTCTTCTGCCCATTTCTTCTTTATTATTTTTTCAATGTTGTTTATTTTTGAGAGAGACAGAGTGTGAGCTGGGGAGGGGCTGAGAGAAAGAGAGACACAGAATCCGAAGCAGGCTCCAGGCTCTGAGCTGTCAGCATAGAGCCCGATGCAGGGCTCAAACTCATGAACAGAGAGATCATGATCTGACCCAAAGTCGGCCACTTAACTGACTGAGCCACCCAGGCGCCCCGGAATTTCATTATTTTTGAAGCATGTGCTCTGTCTATCCTAACAATTACTGGCCTCTTTGAGTTATTTTAATGAGCTCCTTCTACCTAGCAAACCAATTGTACGTAGGTGACATCCCCCATGGACTAGGGGTGTTTCAAAGTGTATTTCCTTAAGCATTTAAGTATTTCTAGCAAGTCCCTGTTTACATGATTAATTTTCACTTTTTATTGAGAGTTTACTAAGCTCTAGACCATGTCATAAATTTTGAGAGGAATATGAATTAATGGGGTTTAATTTTCTTATTCATGTATTTTAATATGTGTATAATAGTTTTATGGTTATTAGGAGAAGGGTTATCTAAAGTCCATGGCAGACAAAAATTTTAAAACCCTTTCATTCTGCTTCACTCTAGTCTCAGTGCTCAATAATTTGATATAATAAGGCATCTGTCTTGAACAAGGTCTGGCTTCCTTGTAAGATGTTGAAGACTTTTGAAATTAGGGGATATATTTATAAAATCTTTTATTTATTGAAAGTCCATCAGCAGAAAAACTGTTAACTTTAGGAACAATTATTTAACAAATAAAGAACTTTTTTGTAAGCATTTGCTGGTAATCAGCAATACCAAAGGATATAATTTTCATGGTCAACATTATTGAAAACTGGCTCTATTCTAGGTTCTCTTACTTTCTGCCACTTCATTAATGAAGAAACTGAGGCACAAAAAGCATAAGGAACTTTCCCCAAACTAATCTCCAAAGATTAAAGGTGGCCAAATCCTAATTCAAACCCAGACAGTCTAATCCCAGAGCACATAATACTGAAGGAACACGACATGGAAATAGGTTCCCCAGGTTCCTTCAAATTTTAAGGTTCCACATTTCTATGAAACTAAAATTACTGTGTTTTACCCAGACAGCACTTTAGGAGAGTCCTGTTGCTGCAGTTTAGAAGGCAGTCAGCTCAGGAATCCTTCTTCCAGAAACCTGCCTTTGCCCATTGCTCCCTCAGCCCTTGTTCTGGGTTAGTCAACTTCCTCAGTGTTCTGAGAATCATGAGCATTGCCCTGTCTTGACACTTACATGATCACATGGTACTAATAACTGTCCATTCCCTTGTTTATCTCTCACTGTGTTTTCCTGATCTTTGGACCTAGCACAGAGCCTGGCTGAGACAGGGGAGTGAGTGTTTGGGAAAGAGTGAATGGTCCACAATTTACCAAAGTTACAAAATTGGAAAGGGAGTTGTGACGAGTCCTGAACATTTGTCCTGGAGGAGAGGAACACTGTGCTTCCATTTTGTAGGAACCATTGGATGCTATATAAAGAAATCATAGTACCATGTGATCTATTTTTCAAAATGCTGTTTCTCAGGGGTTAGAGGTATTCTATAAATTGGCTTAGGTGCAGTGGTGGGAGAGAGGCAGGTAAGAGGTGAGCCAGCTTCTTACAGACCCTCTCACTGCACTCTACTGTCATCCTGACACAAGGAGAAGGGCTCACATTAACTGCATACCCATGGCCATATGTCAGATACTAGGCCAGGGTTTTGCCAACACTAACCAGTTTAATCCCAGCAACTCTAGGAGGTATATAAACCAGAATGGGCCCAAACTTACCAATGTACCTTTAACATGAATTCAACTATATACTCTCAGGTGTGTGTGTGTGTGTGTGTGTGTGTGTGTGTGTGTGTGTGTGTAAAGAGCTATTTCACCTGTACCGAAAAATAAGCAGTGGAGAAGAAGGGGACTATTTTGGATTGCTGAGATTCAGTAGAGGAATGTACCAAACCACGTGTACTTATTTTACTGCATGGATAATATAAGGGTTTTAAGGTAATTGCAACTACATCCTGGGAGAAACGTAACTTCCCCATATTATGACTCCCATTTTCTGGATGAGAAAATGAAGTCTTAAAGACTTCACATAACGTGCATTTAAATCAGCTCCAAAGAACTGTCTTATGCACCTGTCTGGTTTCCTCTATGTGCTGTATGTGGTTTTTCTATGGGGCTTGTAGCCATTCTGTCTCTGCTCTTGTCATCCATTCAGCAAATATTTATTGACTTTTGGCAGGTCCTGTATTAGATGCAAGGGGTGCATTCTTGAACAGAAACATTTTCCTCTCCAAGGGAGCTTAAGGAAATGTAAATCATACAACAGGTTAACATGAGAGAAGTATAGTCACCTCTTGATTGACTAGAGCTTGAGGGAGGGATAGGAAGAGGTCTATCCCAGTTAAAATGAAACT